GGGGGGGGGGGGGGGGGGGGGGGGGGGGGGGGAGGCCAAATAGTATATACAAATGCATGGATTTTTGTGAATCAAGATCATTGGGAATGGGAAACATACGTATGATAATGCAAAATATAACTTTTATATACACGTATCTCTTGAACTATGATGCTCGAACTCGGGTACGGATACGTATTTAAGTTTCGAATCTTTTATTTTTTGAAACGTAGGATACAATTAAAAAAAGTCCAAATTTCGGACACAAGTATAGAGGTACATCTTTGAAATTTCAAAAAAATATTTTCCAAAAAATTCATATGTAGAAAGTTAAATAATATTTAGTTGCAAATTGTTAAAAGATAAACATGTCACTTAAAAATCATCTAGAAATTTATAATCAAAGTAAAAAACACTAGAAAAAAAATAAATAAATAAATTGACATAACAAAGTACAAAATTAGTTATCTTATTTGTTTTAGAAAAAAAAATTAATTTAGAACAAAAATAAACTGTTTTACAATTTATTAAAAAATCTTTTTTTTTAACTTTTCGTATAAACATTTTAAAAAAACGAAGAAACTAAAATTTATCAAAAATATTATTTACCATGCCTTTTTTTTTTTTTTTTTTTTTTTTTTTTTTTTTTTTCCCTGCTTTTTTTTTTTTTTTTTTTTTTTTACTTAAAATGATCTTATCTAAATCAAAAGAACTAAAAAGCATATTTAAGAAATAATGCAACTAATAAGACTGTAAAATTCAAAAAAAGGAGATAAATAAACCCAACTAATAAAAATTTTAGGCTGTAAATAAAGTTTCATCCATAGTGGATAAAAAAAAATCCCAAAAAGGTCCAAAAGTTAAAAGAAAAAACAGACCCGTCCAACTACAACACCCCATTTCTTCTTCCCTAATCGTGACTCTCTGCAACAATGGCAGCAGCAATAGAAAGTCCAACAGCTTCCACATCTAGCCGTGTCCGATTGAAGCCTGCCGTGTCCAACCCATATTTCATACTCGTACCCGTGTCATGTCGTGTCGACACGGATACGTCGGCCAAAAAGAAGGGTCTGAGCATCACAGCTCTTGGATACACCAACAACTAAAAGTATCTTGTAAACCACACAATCTTTAACAGAGATGTTTCATTGCTTTTATTTTGGGGTTGGGGGAGACAACACATGTGACAAGTTATACTGGATTCTTGGTAAAAAAAGGTGTTGGAAGAATTAGCTTCCTCCAACTCATCTACAAAACTATAATGAGATGTTAATATCTTATCCGTAATCTCGTTTAATGTAGCTCAATCCAGCATAACAAACATCCCAGAAGGCAACGGCATTGTAATTTTAAAGCCACAAGATCTTGCACGCCATAAATGTTAGCATTTCCAGACTACAACAACATTTAAACTTCTTTTTTATCACATAATCGTGTATCACTGTGCAATCAAGCAAGCCAAACATCCAAGAGAAGGTGCCATAAAAGTTAATAAGAGTGATAACATTTGGTGAGCATTACTTAACAATACTGACTAGAATTATTTATTTATTTTTAATTCCATGATCTTGTCCTAATACTATGCGACCAACCACGACAAACATTCCAAAAAGTATAACATTGAAATTCTAAAGCTATTCGCATGTCATAAACGTTCGCATGACAAAATTTGGTATGCAATAATAGACAATTAAGACTAAGACCAGATTTGAACGTGTTTTTATTTCATAATCTTGTCCAGTACTTTACAATCAAGCACAGCAAAATTCCCATAAAAGTACAAAATCGAAATTCTAAAGCTACAAGATTTCCCATGCCATAAGTATTAGCATGATAACATTTGGTATACGGTACTAGATGCTACAAAGTAAGAGTTACCAGACGTGAACATGTTTTTATTTTATTCCATAATCTTGTTCGGTACAGTACAATCAAGCATGTCAAATTCCTATAGAAGTAAAATATTAAAATCCTAAATATATAAAATCTTACAGGAAATAAATTTAGCATGACAACGTTTTGAAACTTCTGCAAGATTTTAACTATATTTTTATTCCATAATCTTGTAGAGTACTGGACAGTGATGCACGCCAAACACCCCATAAAATTTATCATGACAACATTGAAATTCTAAAGCTATAAGATCTCTGTAGCTGCTGCATTAGATTTAGCTATTTCCACTTAGTCTATCTAAATATATGTATTACCATAAGCTGTGAGCATGGCAGCAAAATTGGAATCCCAACGTCACAGAGAGCACATAATGCTTCAATTTTCAACATTTCAAGAACATAGAATAAAGCATAAGAAATTACAAATCCAAGACTCACCTCAGCCCACACGAGAAACTTGCTCAAAGCAAAATTCAGTTTCGCTCCGCAACTACTAAGCCTTCCACGCCTGAAAGCTCATATGAACAATAAAATCTACATGTGAAGCTAAAGATATCCTCATGCTTGACTCCCTCCCTCATATCCTTATGCTGGCTGCTTTGTATACCATCTCTCTCTCAACTGTGTGTACGAGAGAGAGTAGAGGCACGTAGTACTCTGGTTCAACAGCAGCCACTTTCAGACCTAACCAACCCCCAGTAAGTAGAGGAATTACAACAAGAACTCGTGAATCATACCAAGATCGTCTAGTGAATCCTCCAATGCAAATATCATTCCATTTTCTTTTGAATATGTATGCATCCATCCAAAATCTAATAAATCAATAATCAACAACTGGCAATATGTTGGCAAAATTTGTTCCGTAGAAGAATCTAAACAAATCCATAATCAATAGCATGCAAGATGTTAAAAAATAAAGTTCCATAGAAGAAGATTTTATTCATAGACACTAAATCATACGGTTACATAAAAGTATTACATCACAAAGAGGTTGCACAGGATGATTCGTGACTGGGAACCTGCAAAACTAGGGCT